CATCATGTGCGGCGCGACTCCTTGCGCGACGCATCGGTTCGGTTGCTTGACATTCTAGAGACAAAAGATTCTTCCTTTGTACGAGATCTCAGATCGCGCGCATTCGTTATGAGACAGGTCACAGAAAATGTAACAATATTCGTAAGTTCCAAATTATTATTTAATACTATTATTAAATAATTATTGGCTTAGTTTACATCGATTGTTTAGTACGCGTACCAAGTACTAAAATCTGCTTCTCCGATAGATATAAATCGTTTAGTGTAAAATCTATACCAATCAAAGAAGCAGATTTAGTACTTGGTACGCGTACTACACAATCGGTGTAAACTAAGCCATTATTCTCTACTATTATCTTTTGTCTCCTTACGGCAACGCGTGACGCGCGACGCGCTCAGTGGGAATTCGGCCATATATTCCTAGGTCCATGGGACACATCTTGTGAGTGGCTGAACAAGGCTGAAGCTGACTGCTGAAGACAATTGACTTATTAATGTATCAAATACAGTTGGAGAAGAGGCGTTACGTAACATATGTAACGTAAATTTCTTTTCTAAATTTCTGTATGATTCTCACATTAGAATATATATCATGTAGAAATCATTTCACGCAAATAAGACAACAGAGCTGACTGCGGTTGTTACAGAAGTTCCCGCCTAAAGTACTGTGCTTAAAGTATAACCAGGTATAACTGAAATTTTTCAATTATATGTACTTATGTCGTAAAAATCGGTAAGTGCGATTGAGTTATGCTATTCACCGAAAAACGTATGCACTTATGAAGGGAATAAAATGAAAAGAAATATGACTATGTCACAATGATATGACCATATATCAATTTGCTAGTTAAATCAGGTTATGTTAGGTTGCTAAATATACAATGTATTTGAAATTTCTGTAGTGTAGGTCAGGATTAAAAATGATATAATTAATAAGTATAATTAATTGCAGTATGTATATGAAAAAATAATATTCGGGAAATAACTGAAGGTATATGCAAATATAGCCAACTGTTTTGCATTTTAACATATAAATGTAAAACTATTGAATTTGTATAATGAAAAATCAAAACAGAAATAGTGAAAAACGTTGCAATAATGAGTTCAGTAATAGTAATTTCAAGAAAAGCAATACAGGTATAATTAAATACAGGTATAATTTATTGGAATTATATTTTACAATTATATATTGTTTATATTAAGTTTTTCAACTTATATGTAAATTGTATGCATAAAATAATATATTATTTTCATATGAAATAACTTATGTAAGCATTGAAAACAAAGATATATAGTCACCCATAGAAAAATTTTCATGTAAGATAAAAATCAAAATTCCTATGACTTATATTTTGTTTTAATTTTTCTTTTTATGATTATTTATTGCATAATGTAGAAGTATATTAATATTGTATGAATTTGTTAATTTTAGAAAAATATCCAAATCTGGTAGTAGATGGGATTTTATATATAACAGAAAACATAAAAAATATAAGCTAGTTAAAAAACTAGTTGCTCCAGATGAATATGTCATTTATTCAGTACTTAATGTTGACATTGCTATGAAACTAGGAGTAGCAGCAAGTATGGTAAGAATAAAAGAAAATTAAAATATCTGAATCTTTTACATATAAAACAGGCTTTAAATATTTATATAACTTATGATATTTATTCTTAATAATTGCATTATTGAATGATATGAAATAGTAAGCAACTTAACTTTAATGTCTTGTACCAATTCCTTGTAGATAGCTCGTAGTATACTTACACTTCATGATACGTTAAAAGCAAATCCAGTGATAAGTCCTTATATTGCTCAATGGAAGAAATCAGGGTAAGATAAAATTAATATTTAGTTTTCTTGTTTTGTAATTCAATAATTTTAATATATTCAATATTAATATTTTTAACAATGGCTCAAAATAAAATTTAAGTATGTTTTTTAATATGAAGAATATAACATATATTTTTCAATCACATCTATAGGGAAAACATAATTGTTTTGCAAGGATATGATCATAAACATTTAAAATATCTCGAAGGAGAAGCGAAATTTACGGCTCTTGGTAAGCACGCTCTTTATCATCGATGGTATCATAGCCGTATAATGCTGGTATTATCAGTATTTGGACGGAAGGAAGAAATCGAGGATATCTTTGATGGCCTCTGCTATTGGCGATAATGGTAAGCACAGAAATAAATTTACAATATTTAAATTTAAAATAATGAATTTGAAGTTATTCTTTCTCACTCTGCAGCTTTCACTAATAACATCACAATATTGTAAAAATGAAATCAATAATTAAGTTAAATGTGACCAATGCATTTTTACACATAAAGTTTTATTTGATAACTAATAGTTTGTTTATCACATTGTTCTACATAACCGATAGCTGATACTGTATTCAAAGAATGAATAGATGGGAACGTCTATAAGAATACTATGCAATTTAACAGAATTTATAATCTCATTTATCTTATATAAAATAGTTATTAAAGTATTCACTTTCCACAGCTAAGAGCTCATCATACGATAAGAATAAGGAGAAAATGACCATTCTGCCTCGTCTGGTATCAATTATCAGTGAAGAGCTTATCGGTTGAACCTTTGATGCCAGTAATGTCTCAACCACACTGAGGGTTTCAGAAGTACACCACCCTGCTTGGAATCGTGTTACACATACTCGACGAGTGAGCAGTGAAGAAAGTAAGGGACACGCAAAAGGTGAGCAAAGAGAGGTAGGCGCCACGCCCGCCCCTCCATACATGAAGCACGGTTACAGAGGGGGCGCCTGAGGAGAATTGCTGGCGGTCGGCGCAGCCGCCCGCCGCGTTTTATGCAACCAGTCTTGCTTCGGAGCGAGCGAATCCACTGCCCCGGCCTTTGACAGACGGGGTAGCGTGTGCAGTGCCATCAGTATTGTCTGTCGTCGTCCGTCGGCCGTCTTTCAGCCCGTGTTCTAAGTACGTACGACTGGTAACGTGCGTGCTCACGGCTCTTCGGCGGAAGAACATCACACACCGGCCCCACGATCTAGTTTCACGCTGTGCTTTTCAGGCAGGTCACGACGGAGCCTACCTACGAGCCTGACATAGTACTACACCGCTATTGTTTTCTCGTGCGCGCTGACTTTGCCGGTGAGGCGAGCGAGGGAACAAACTCAGCGCACTTCGAACGACAACGAGGCGGTGTCGGCGGTGTTCGACCGATATCGTATCGCTCTACGTAGAGCTGCGCGGCACGTACGATTCACGATCGCACCCCACAGTCGTACGCTGTAGGCTCGTGTCTGCCGACGGAGTGTCAGTGCGACGAGTCGGTTGGTGTTCTGACACACGGGTGCATTATCTATGACTGTGTGTGCGTGCATATGTGCGTGACGTGTGCGTAAAGGCAAGAGAGCGACGGACTGGCGGTAAACGCGCACGAGAGAGAGAGGGACGGGCGCGACGACGATGCGGCCGTGAATCCTCGGTACGTGGCTGCGCTCACGCCGCGCGTACTCTCGCAGCAAGACACGAATACAACGACGACGTCGACGGGGACTACGGCAGGAGCGACAGAGAAAGGCGCGTACTCGCACGCGCTGCGAATTATCACGCATTTGCGTAACTACAACGCGTCTCTCGGCGCGTGCAGGCTCCTAACTCGGTCGACTCCTTCGACCTCCTCCTCGTCGTCACTATGGCGGACGACGAGGTTCTCTTCGATGATGTTTACGAGCTCTGCGAGATTATCGGCAAGTGAGTAACGAGAATTTCAGAGAGATAGAGAGAGAGGTAGAATCTGCGATAGATAGTGAGGGGTGCAAGGAGGTCTGCGCGAGAGAGAAAGCGTGGTGCGATTGGATGAACGGCAGTGGGCGGAGGTACCTTGAGCGTGTTGGTCGCGTGCGTCAGTGTATGCATGCTTTGCGCGAGCGTCTGCGCGTATGTGAACCCGTTGCAAATAATGCCTATATACATACATCATACCTACATTAGTGTGATACGGAACGAGTGAGTAATGACGCATAGAGTAAAGGAAGGAGATGCGAATCGAGTGAGGAAGACGAGCCGGGCGTCGCGTGTGCAAGTTTCTGTCTGCTTCCAGTTTCCACCTTCATCAAATTCCATCCAGTAACTTGACCCGTGCTTGCGAAGCGAATAAAATTGTATCATTTCCTTTTTGTCCTTGTACTACACGGTGCAAACAAATTATATTTTACTATTCATACTTTGATAGGAGACAGTCTATACACTGGGGAATAATACGCTAACATTTTATTAGGTAATAATAAAATTTGCAAGTTATCTTTAAATAATGTTCCATATCGCAATATAAAACCTTTGAGATTTGAGTTTGAGTTATTTATTACGAAAGGGATTCTTTTTAATGTTGGAATAAGTAACCGTAAGAAGAGATATAAACATTGATACTTGTTTCAATAAGGTTTTGACAGTTTATGTTATATCTCGTTCAAATAAATGGTTTAGTTGGCATATTGGCAACGGCTCATTCGTCTGTCGGGTTTACCTGTCGATAGACCATTTATCTGAACCTTTATAACATGTTGAAGCTAGGCTTTTCAAATTCATCTAGGAAACAAGATTGCAGTCTAACTCCAAAACAAAACACAGAACCACTAAAATATATTATCAGAGAAAGTAAAAATGTATGTATATAGGGGATAAAATTTTTGCTAAATAATACTATTTAAAATTCGAAGAATAGTTTTAAAAAGAAATTTTATTTTAAAAATAATGATAGTTGTTAGATACTTATAAATCTCAGTATCGTGCTTGTTCATAAATCTATCGTAAGGGGCTTTAAAGATTAATTTATAAAGAGGTTGTGTTTATCCATATTGATCCAAAGCGTCTCAAAAAAAATGGAAAATTATTCAGCCGTAATTTTTCGAAGGAGATGTGGAAAATATATCTTGTAGATCATTTAGGATGTTTTAGTTGCTTATTGATGAAATATTGATCGTTTTCGCACTGTGTGAATCCGAAAGTTAAATTTTTTTCACGATTACAGTAACCAACTATTAACACAAGCGGAGTAACGTGAATTCTTATATTTTTAATTATTGAAAAATTTACACGTTACGACAGTTCAATTGCAATTCAGCTTTTAATGCTTGTTTCGTGTATCGCACTATGTTAGCAATGATCGATTTCACCAAAACGGTTTATTTAATCTGCCGAAAGACTATAGGCCGAAAAGCAGAGATTGCTGTCACAGAAATGCAATTTCGTTTGTATCGGAAGCCAATACTTAATTTATCATTCAATTGGCCAACCTTCATGCCAAAATAATATACGTCACCAGCTGTGACCAAAATACGTATCACAAAGGCGTAGATATTTGACAATCATCGACTTATAACTCAGATTAATTAACCTGTTTGCATTAAAAAATATTTACAAAGAAACGAAATTAATACATACCGCGATTTAATAAAATATAATTTTATGAAATCGTCATTTAAATACATATTTTTACGGAATTAAAATATTTAGCAATACTTTCTTGCCAAGATAACGTTAGATTTATATTATCATGTTGGACCAAGTATAATAAATCTACATTATCTTAGCGTTAACGATACGTTCTATTTAAAGTTCTGTCCTTGTATGATAATAGATTTTCTCATGACTGAGAAATAAACGTCATGCACTTTTCGTAATGTTCTTGCGATAAAGGCTATTCATTAAGACACGCTCAATCGGTCACCCGGTATTAATTTATTTAAACTCGACTAGAACATCACGAATTCGACTAGAAACCCTGATGAAGCCAACATCGATATTGTGTGCTCTCCGTGATACATCGAAGTTGGCAAACTCACTAATTAAAACGTGCTTACGAATCTTGGCATCTCGTCGAAGATAATTTACCCGATTGGAGATCAGTTTATTTTTGCAATAAACTATGAAATAGTGGAAAAGATTGTTGATAAAGAAACACGTACTAATTCGTGATTCATAGCTTTTATTATCACATAACAAATTTACAATGAATCTCTCGAACGTATATATAAAGCTCACATAACGCGTACATTACCAGAAAAATTGTGTTTTGCAATAACATCGAAAAACGATTGCACACTTTTACAGAAAGCTGTGTCTTTGCACAAATTCCGAAATGATTCGCAAAATCATTTATTTGCCCGTCACGTACTAAACGTCTAATTTTGGATGCGGAAAGACGCATTCTCAAAGCTTTGGTGGCATTTCAATGAAAATACAAAAGTCGTCAGAAGCTTTGAACAAGCGCCAAAACGACTCGATTAAGAAGGAATAAAAAATAAACATTTAATTTTAGCATTGTTCGGCAAAATATATATTTTTTAAATTATATAATAAAATTTTAAATAATCAGCGAATAATGAACTCAGGAAGCTGCAGGCTATTTTTAACTATTTCATCGAAGAACCGATGAAACTAGCATTTAGTTCCATACACTTTTTTTATACGGAAACTTCTACTTATGCAAAAATCACGAATTTATGCAAATTTACCACACCGTGATGAATAGGTACACTAAGCAAACGAAAAACTGGTGAATAAGGAATAGAAATATTCGGAAGTTTGGGAGACGTGTAACGAATACGTAATGCGATTCTAACAAATACAAACGAGTATTAGTATGAAATCCGAATCGATTCGCTCATGAGGCCATAAAGCAACTAAAAAATTTATATAAATGAAATTTACAGTCTAACTGTATATTTAATTGCATATTTACACAACAATATTGCTTTTTGTTGCGTAACAAGTAGTGCAGAAATATTTTAATGAGAACAGTTTAAAGATCACTCTTCACACATATATCTATATATACTGTGAACGAAACTGAATTAAATTTATGATGTTATTGGTTCATTCTTCGTTCATTACAGTTAATTGGCATAGCAAAGCCGGAGCGACGCTCTTTTCTGCGTCAATTTAACTTAAATGCTGTAATCTACAGCTCGCAGAAGCGGTCCTTTTAAAATCATTCTTTTCAATCAACTACTATGAGGTCTCTCTTTAGATATTTCAAAATGGAAACATAACGGCGACATTTTCTGCTTCTATATTTAATAATTAATTTATTTCATACCCGTTGAAATTGCCGTTTCCTCTAATAGTTCTCAACATCGCACTTCTGCGCATTTAATTGAGTTTTAAATCTATTAAATAAATATTCAGCACATGCAACGTTTTGTTAACTTTTCTACAGAATGCTATGAATTCATGAAAGAATATGTGCACAACCATTTTGTGATCATTTTTTACATTGTAACAACTACAAGCTTTGAAATTTAAATTACGCTTATGACTGATTCTACTATTTATAAGAGAAAAATAATGAAAAAGATAGGATATGTATACAAAGCACATCGGTGAAACAACAATATCATTAATGTTACATATCTGTTTCTGGCCGTTACTAGTCAATAAATAAAGTTGCATCGAGTTGTATCAGTTGTATCAAGAGCTGTTGTGAAGATAGAAACGGAGTTATCAAACAGGAGCCCTCGACGCTCTTACTTCGATGCTCCAACATCTCGCTGGAGAGCGAAAGCACCGAGAAATCCTCCCATGCTCCGACAGGTTTAAATCTCGATGCGGACACGTACAAGGCGAGATACGAGGCGGCATGCTCTGCTTTTACGATTCTCGCCCTACTTTTCATTTCTCTCATAAACTCCCGGACGAAAGGTTCTGTGTGTGCTTGGATTTTTCTAAAGGCAAGCAAAATTCTTACCGATAAAATTCGTCCTTGAACTTAATTACATAGTTTGGGTCTTTGTGCTAAATTCTTTTCGGAATTGCATTATACGGTCTGCTGATTATCGCACGATAAACGCTAGATATGTGAAAATTAAATTACACAATGTTTTAATTATGCAGCTGCTAAAAGTAGCAACAGATTTCTTAACTGTATAATGGAAATAACTATTGCGATATATTTTATTTGAAAAGATATAACATTGACGAATATAAGAATCTATTTTTATAGAATTCAAAATAAACATGAAAAAATTACAATTTATATTTATTAATTTATTCGTTATTTGTTGGATTTATGTTTGATATTTAAATATTTGTCTTTATTTAGCTGGAATATTGCATTCTGCTTCATTTTGTAATAGAATTTATCGTAATACGAATGTTAACCATATGATAAACGTTGAATCAAATTTGTTCAATTTCGAAGAATATATTGTGTTACTTTTCTCGTTATAAAAATATTGGACCATAATTAAAAATTAGATTATAACATTTCTGCTATTGTATCACGGAAATGCTTTGAGATATAATAGTTTTCAACGCTACGACTTTTTCAATTATTTAATACGGTAAAGCTAATTTGTTGCACATTGAAATTTTTTTTCTTGTATTACTCAAGTTTTCTTACATTGCATTATTACTTAAAGCGATTATTAACACAAATCTATAATTTTAGAAAACAAATATCTATATAGAATATAGGCATATGTGTGAAATAATATATTGTACAAATATTTTCATCTCGCGGTATATATTGTTATTCACAGAGTAACTATTTGATAGAGTAACATGATACATTTCAACAAAGCTATTTATTTTTTTTTTAAGTTGATATTAAAAACTTTTTCATGTCTGTACGTGTACGTTTATTGCATCTCTAGTCTGCAAAAATATGGAGTATTTTTTCTGTGAGACAAATCTCCTTACGAAATTATGTCACAGATAACTGCCTTAAATCTTTAGCCTTTCAAAATAAATCCTAGTTTATGTTATCAAGATAAGATTGTCTTGAACTCACGTGCAATTTCTCAACATCTTTGAATACCGCGTGACGTGCTGACACACACAAGCCATTCTTACTTCAGCAAATTTCTTCAGAACTATTTATCTTGATATGAAGTTGTTAATGTCTGGCATAACGCTCTCACTTAATGACGCTCTCATTTATTCCTAATACGTTCGTTTACTCCAGTAAATTTTGGATTTTGGCCAATTAACATGGGATGCTACAACTCATATGGTTTATTTCGAACTTTGCCTGATTTCCTATTACGCTGAATTAACTAGGTATAAGTGTGTATACACTGAAATTTATGACAATATCGATATACTTTTACTTATGTAATATTACATACATATCAACATTGATCACATTTCTTCCAGAATCGATATTTTGCAGTATTACTATTATATGCTTGATAAAAAGAATCGTTGCTATAACAAATAATCGAAAGTGTATAGGTATAATTAATATGCATTATAAAAATGTACAGCGCGAATTTCCGGAGGTATATCATTCACAATAACTTGCTAACATCTCTGTATTCAGCATCTCGAACGCAGGAATGTTGCCTTCCTGTTATCGACACCTCGCTCGTATCGAAGATAAAGTGCTTAGTGTGTTCGAAAGGTATTGTTACTTCGATACTTTCGACTCCTTGTGTAGACTTATGTTAGACGTGTATCATACTGTGTGTGTCGTATAATATAATGCACAGTACAATGTACTGCAATTCTCTTTTTTTATATAAATTTTTTAACAATCTGTACACACGTAAAAATAAGAAGTTCAAAATAGGTACAAAAATCTACAATTATGTATATAATTCATTTATCACGATTATACACGTGTATTCTATTGTTTCGTATTTCACATGCATTATGCATAAAAACAGAACCAAATGATTCGCTCGTGTCACGTTAGAATATTGATTACATCAAGCTCTGGCACAGTGGGCACTGCTCTTCGCAGGTCAGTGACGTCGCAAGCGTATAAGATGCCGGCCTTGATATCATTCTTCTCGATTATCCACAGCCACGCGACTCTCTCGCTGACATCTGTACAAAGATATACATCGCTTGTGACCGAGTCGATGAACGGATCGTTGAGACCTATAAACGCGATGCCCCGCCTGCTCAATGGATCGTAGATGACTTTCCAATAGAACTTCGGTACAGATATTGCGCCGTCGACACCCAGGTATACGGGCTGCTGTTCGTTATGAATGTCCAACATGGTCATTTGTCCGTGTACCCCCGTGTAAACGTCGAGATCCAAATTCTTCGTAGTAGCGAATATTCTCACGATTACCTCCAAGTAATACCAATTGCCTTCGTTAAAAGATTTCCACTGAGGCGCAGTGTTCAAGTACCAAAAGGTACTCCTCTGCTGGGCGCCGTAGACAAAATCCGCTTTGGCCGCGAGATGACCGCGGGAGAGGAACTGTTCCGACTTCTTCAATCGTTGTTTAGCCAACTCGGTCGAATTTAGGATCTCGGCTAGCGTATTCAACTGAGTTTTGAATTTATACAATTGGTCTATATCTATGTCGGGATAAAAACTCCCCGCTAGAAACTTGCTCGGTCTTGAACATAAAATTTTCACTTTTTTTAATGCTGATTTAACTTGTATGTCATTTGTTAAAACTTCTCAAATCTCAATATTGATTAATTATATTTATCCAAGAATTTCTTAGTGAAAGGAAAGATTATTGAATTAAAAATGCATCGACGAAATGATTGATTATCAGATCTTACCTAGGATAATTTATTTGATAATATTTAATCATTTTTGTCATCTTGAACTTCGTGTAATATGTCACCTTCGTCTCGTCGTCGCGGCATAATTCAATAGTAGGAATGAAACTGCCGCTCACGCTGAAACCAATTTCGATAGGGCTGTGTCTCTCGAGGCAAGGTAGCGAGTCCATACGCTTAGCGCGATGCCAGGTGTGAGACTTGCAAACTAAGGACGAGAAGCGAATTCCGGTAATTTCATTCACGTCAAACACATCATCCCTCACGCAAACTGCTTCGACCTTATCGCCCCAATTTTCGTTTGTGAGATAATTATTGTCGCCTGGGCATGCCAGGTAAATGGAGCCATTTACAGGTATCCTTATCCTCCCTCCATGATCCTCCGGGTACCAGATGGTCATATTCTGGTTTAAGAGCAACGGCTGAGGTTCTTTAAGATTGCCACTTTGGTAATTTATGGAAATTGTACAGCTAGGATCTAAAAATGTTATTGTAACAGCAGTAAAACCACAACACAATGTTCACAAAGGTTTGCGAAATGATCGGATATTTTACCAGTGCTAATTAGATTCGCAATTGCCCAAGCGACATACGTACTAAACAGAACAACTCTCATGATGGCACTTTAACGGTTGCACAGGAAAAAGGAATTCTTTTCCTCTATTCTTGGTTTTATACCTGTCGATGAGCAACTAACCTTCGTCACATCAGTGAGAAAAGATAATTTCTAATAATATTGTGATTTTGTTATCGACTGTCATTTGTGAGAGATAACGTTTCTAGTAAATCATATTTTACTTCAACGAAAATATTGTTGACATGTAAATGTAGATAAGTTGTGCCCCCAACTTTTTAGATAGGCTGCACGAACTGAATACATAAAAAATGCGCGATTGCTGCATTAATTTTATGCACATTTTCGCAGTAAATAATAAAGCAACTAAATAATAATGAAACAATACACGCGCAATAATGTTTTGTCATATTGTGTCTGCTTCATTATTATCTAAACCAGAGATGGGAATTAGTTGCAACTTTCGGCTCGATCTTCTGATTGACGCCCACTGTCCCCTTCTTGCCGCTCGCATTCTAATAACGAGTCACCAAACGCGCTAACAATGTCCGTAACTAAGGTGCGCGATACTCACAATCAGCCTCAGGAATGTCACAAATACAACAAGATAATAAATATGAGACAATTATTAACGCGTTCTTCAACAATAGTATCTCAGGTGATGTAGAATTTGGATGTGGGATTTCCAATCTATATTTATCTTATATTTATTATTTTGTTGCATTTGTGATTTGGACATTTCTGAGGTTGAGTATCGCGCACCTTACTTATGGGCGTTGTTAATGCGTTTGATGACTTGTTGTTAGCATGCGAGCGGCAAGGAGGGAGCAGGAGGCGTCAATCAGGAAATCGAGCCGAAAGTTGCAACTAATTCCCATCTCTGATCTAAACCTTATGTTAGATAAATGCAATATGGCGTACAATTATGCAGATCGCATTCTTGTTTCTTAACAAAGGCATAAAAGTGACGGCAGAACTTTGCACTATTTGAAACTTTTTTTTATTTAAATATGTTAGTATTAATTATTCGATAATAGGTAAACCTTTAACGAATTTTATGTTGTTCATTTTTTATCGGAAAATTATTATCGTGTAGGAATGTTTGGAAGACTCCATTTTGTGCCAAGTAGAATATTCGTTGACAAATATTACCGCGGATGTTTGTTTATAAATGCTATTGTCAGAGATAAATCAATGTCTCTTATCTTATAGTATAATATCTGATATTATATATAGTTATTACAAAACTTGGATTTGTGTGTCAAATGATTTTGATATAATAAAAAAAATTAATTAATAGTTTACAATTTCATTTTTATGAACATTTCATTTTTATGACATTTTATAAACCGAGATGTGAACGTACATATATTGCAAAACAATAAAAATCTGCGAAAAATCACTTATTGCTTGTAATGTGTTGATGTCATAAGCTATTATTGAATTATTTGTATATTTTAACAAATTTTGATATTTTATATAAATTCATATATGTAAATTTCACTCTTTTGCGATATTGATGTTTTTATACTGTACCAGCATATTAAATTGTCTGAATTGGAAATGCTGATTAGATTAATTGGTTTGTGTTTGTTAAGCTGATATATTTATGATTAGATATGTAGCATGATAAATGCATATAAATATTAATATTTCATTGATTGATATCTGTATGAATATGATATTTGTTTAAATATGATATCTTTTCATAATTTTGTAAGCTCTTAAATCGTCATAAATTTAACGAACGTTTCCGGTGCGAGGGAAGTTTGTGAAATCGACTATAACTCTCATTATTACAAAGTTTAGCTCCAAGTAATAAGCAACTCATAATAGCAATACATAGTAAGGAAAATACGTAATATCAGGCGCGGCTTAAGTTTAACAGAGCCGCCGACAAGTCAGAGACGAATAACAGCCGCATTTATGTACTCCGTTTCGGCAATATCAGTCAAAGCATATGTAATCTGTATGTGTCGATAAGAGTAATTGCAGAAACTGTGCTCGAGGTAAAAGCTGAATAGTCTGATGAAACGTGTCGGTGTAAAAGGGGGTATTTCAGCAGGTTAAACGAGCGTCTGAATCTCGCGAATGCCGGTTAGAGACGTTATTTGTTCCTGACTATTGCTAACAATCGCATTTAGTGGTTTCAATCCTCCGTCGCTCTCCTTTCCTTGTGCGTGGCAGGGCATGCTCGTCATGTTTAACGTGCTTCCGATACTGCGGAAATGAATGAGATATAGAGATGGAATGTTAATGTCGACCCGATGTATGCTGCTTCTGTATCTATGGCCGAACACTCAATTTCGATAAATCCGAAACCCCTCGGAAAAACATTCCGCATGAAGAAAACAGAATCCTATGTCTTCTATTGTTTGAAACAAACTTGTTCACATTAATGAGCTGCGGATTAGACCATAAATCTGTGATTTGAGTGCGCAGCGTGTTCCATTCAATGACAAGTTATGTTCAGTTAAGTTATGGCTTTAGCGTGAGCGGCATGTTATCCAGATCTATCTGGAAATTTCAATCGGGTTGAGCATACGCCGACCCGATATCCTAATTACCATTTTGGAAAGCAGAATTCTGCATGAAACTTGGACGCTTGTATTCGCGATACGCTCTGAACGGAGCCTTCGGCGTAACTTGTACCGACGAGCAAAGTTCAATTACGACAGATTCGAGGTCTAATTTACAATGGCCAAGAGGTTAAATAGGGTCTGATGATTGAGAACTTGTATTAATAGTCTCCGTGCCCATGTACGCCTTATAAAAGAAGTGTTGTTTATATGCATTCCATCGAGATGAAATGTTTAATGAAAGAATTCCAACGATCGATGAGTTAATCTGTCATTTACAGCAATGTGTTATTTTATATACAATTTTGGAAAGGAATTAGACTTGTAGGGGAATACAAAAAGAATTTAAAATATTCGTTTAAACGTAGAAAAATATCTTAGGTGCGTATTTCTCAAATGGAAAAATCGGTTTCGAATATAGGTCATACTAGTGTTTGATCCTTTCTGGAAACTGACGAGATGTCAATAAGTTCTTATAAAAGGCGGATTACGTTGTCGTGCCAATCGCTTTATGAAGGCCTTAAGGCACTCAAGGGCCGTCTTGTAAGAGAGCTTTTAACAACGAAAAGCGAGGGATGATGCATTTAGTAACTCATTCGCGGGTATACTGGAGATGATGGTTTGTGTGTGACAGCAAACGATTTACATAGGTACATTCTTAAAAGACTGCATTGCATCATATTGATTCTTTAACTTATGGTAATGTTATAGTAAAAAAAGAAATATAAGAAATTAGGTTTTTTAAATAATAATTAAGAATTACTGTCCAATATTTAATTTCATGCTTTGCGCTAAAATTTGATTAATACTTTGGCTTGCTGCCATTATTTTAGCACATTTGATATTCAAAAGAACATAATGAACGTGTTTCAATATATCACATTCACAAACTATCGATCAAAATATTAATGTTTCAAATGTATGATTTTAATAATTTAATAATATATTTAATATATTTAAATTCAAAACAATGCAATTATTTCCAATTTCCAGTCGTTTGTTATATTATTATTGGTATTTATGATATTGTTATTAAATTTTTTTGCATAAACAGTCATTGTGTGCCATGACTACAGTTATTATAAAATAAAGTACAAAAGTAGGAATATTAAAAAATATTTATATAAATATTTTGATGTAATCTTCGACATGGAGAATTAATTTTTGACACAATTGCTGACTCTTATTATTTTAATTTCAAAGAGTTGCAAAATTAAAAATATGCGCTCATGTATATTGATTAAATGAAATAAAAAATAATATTGCTTTTTAAATGTTGACAAGAAATAATATAGGAGATAGAAAAATGTCTTTAACAATAAAATAAATTCTAAAAACTAAAAGAAGAGAAATATATTATTAGTATATAGTTACAGATGAAATATAAACGTGAGTTTGTACGGTATTTAGAATAATTTGCATGTACTATGTAGGGGTTTGATTTGATGAGGTATCATCGCTGTATGGACCACAAGAGCAGATGCTTGCGTGAGACGCTATACGCACGACATTCTCCATTGTGGGTTTTCACTAATTCCATGAATGTGCGCGTGGTTATCATTCGATGGATAACCGAGACCGCTATCGAATTTAACCCTTAAGACCTGATCGTATGACCTACTCATGTACGTATAGGCACAGCTATCCACCTGTCTCACAGATTATCAATCTTATATCGTATAGTACCTTAGTATACAATATCAACATCCAGAAATCGATATCTGTGACTTGAAAATAAACGAACGTATATTCTAATTATAGATATAGAATACACATTTCGTTTCTTCTATTTCTAGATTACAAATTGATATCGCACATTCTTGTTCCGAAATACATATTGGCATTTATTTCGTTGTTGTTCTATTTGTATATTAAAATCATGAAAAGTAATAAACCGGTCTATGTTGTGCAAAGGTAAAATTAATTCTTCAAAACTACATTTTTTAATTTTTTTAACATAGTTATTTTTTTAGCATAGATACATGTATTTAAAAAAAATATATTTTGTTAGAAATTATATCGTTTATATACAAAACCAATAATTGATAATTTTCAAATTATTTTAAATTTAGAAGAAAAGTTTTTACACTTTTATCAATTTCTAAGATATTTCTTTATCTCTCTTAAAATATGTTCAATGTGTTTATCTTTTCTTGATGTCTCATAAATTTCTAATTTTCTCAACGAACCATGACCTATATTGACATTTCCTTTTTCTAGATTTTCTTATATTTTTTGTAAAAACTTGTAAAATTTACATGTAGATGCAAAGGTAGTACGTCAAAATTAGTACGTGTATGCGTAGGAAAAATGTAAAGTTACAGCGCACGCGACATTTAAAAATGACGTTAGGTCACCGGAAGGATGTGACCTTGGTCTATAAAGTGATATCAAAGAAATCTCAAGATATTTATCCTTTAATACTAAAATTTCAATATTTTATAACAGTCTTATACATTTTTTAAAGTATTCTTTTATTAATGTATCTAAAATTAACGAGACATGCATCTTGTGTTTTATTTATAATTTTATAGCTGCAACTTGTGAAAAATAAATTTACTCCCAGGGACAAATTAATTAAAATATAAATTATGTAAAAAATATTTCTTTAACGCGGCGTTTATATTGCGATCTAAAAAATGTGCAAATTTTTTTTATATGAAATTTATTACTTTTTTTCAGTCAAGTATTAATATCATGTAATCTAACTATATCTGCATCGATCAATCGAATGCATTCTATTTACGATTTGCAAGTTATTCTAATGTGCAACTCTCAAGCAACTCTCGCGAGCATAATTATTGTTGTTGACGACTGTATTGTTGCAGGGGACCATTCAGCGTCGTTCGGAAATGCATTCACCGTCATACCGGGCAGACTTTTGCCGTAAAAATCGTCGATGTGGCAAAGTTCACTTCTAGTCCCGGGCTCAGCACAGCGGGTGAGTATATATAGCAAATATAGTATAAGATGTCGGAAACAACCGAGGTTTCTCTTTCCGGTTTCAATGATTTTCGTGACCGACATATTACACGAGTAAGCAGTTTAACATACGACGTGTTTTTCTTTACACAATATAAAGTAAATTTAGCGTTAAAAATAAAAAAGCAAGCAAAAATTGACTGTACATATTTGACTTTAATTTTCGAATATATTTGCGGTATTAGTGAAACATTTTGTGATTACACGTTTTCCGAGTTTATGGCATAATCCTCATAATTTTTTCTGTTTCAAAATATTTACTGAGTAATTATAAAACGCTTTTAATACACTATCGCATTTTTATTTAAAATATTTTTTAATATATACTTAGTTCATGATTTATTCAGATTAAAGCAAATATATAGTGAATTGAGCTTTTTGAGAGATTGTTTAATTATTCATTATCCAAATAAACATATGCTAAAAACTCATATTTTGTGTTTTTGACCATTTTACACAAACTAGTTAAAATAAGTGAGAAATAGTTTCTATCATTTTTTTACGAACACTACCATTAATTTCTACCAAAACAAGGCCTATATACCTTTTTATTCGCTTACTTGATAATGTTCGTTTCCCTCAATGTTGTGCAAACGTGGGTCGAGAGTCGTAAACCGGCGCAAGGGTCATTGTCCAATTGAATGGAAAGGCGAACCATTGTCGCCATGCACATTTTTCGGGGATTTAACACACCAGCCGACAGGTGCAGACGATATATGAGAAGCATTGTTTTAAAACCGATTTTTTTCTAATAAAGCACGTTTTTCTAGAAATAAGAATTTTATAATTTTTAACGACAATGCAAAAGTAAAATATGAACCAATTGCAAACATATTGCGAATTTATTAACAGGTAGATAAATAAGAGTTTAGCAGTGGAAAAAAGCGATTTTGATACAACTTTAGTGGAATTTCTAAATTCTTTACAGCATTAAAACAGCATTAATTCTTTACTGCAATAAAACGGAAAAAAAGGAAACACAATTTTTATATCAGGAATAACTCCTATAACAATATAATGTCAATAATAAAACAGCTGTTTACCTAAGAGTCTATATGAGATTTTTAGGATCCCACGGAATTCCATAAGGAAATACCATGAAACATATGCGAACATAATGTAATACTTCGTTCCTACTTGCCGAACACATAACTATATGTATATAAGGCGAGAACATTTCGGTAGAGGATGATGTCGATGTACGATATTACGAAGCTTTCTCGTTCACACCATCTTTCTTGTCATTTCCAATACGCATGTTACATGATCCGTATCTATAAAAATTTGCTTCGTATAATGTTTTCTAACTCTATTAATTTTCAGCTACAGTAAAGAGAGACAGTAAAGGACAAAATTAAATTTTTCAATTACATATTAAAGCATATTATCGAATTGAGTTAAAAATAAAGAACAAAACTTTATCCTTTAACTTTGAGTGAAATTTACATCAATGAGATTTTAATGTAGCGCTTAGTTATAAAGATATTTAAAAAGAATTATCAAGTTGTGAAACAGTATGGCATAATTTTCTGATGAAAGTTTCGCTCAGAAAGTTAATATCGGAGCACAAATTAGATAAAGAATTTATAGGTGAAAAGTGCGCCGATAAGTCTGTGTATAATTATTATATGTGTTGAAATTTTATTAGTAATCATCACCAATTATTTTAATTTTTTTTTATAAAAGTGTAGAAATTTGTATCAAAATATCGTTTACTTAAAACCTTCTTGTTAAAACGTTGCTTGAAAAACTGGTGAAGAGAACGAGAAATGTTTAATCACCATGTACAACATTTATTGCAATTAGTTCCTTGCACTTTTTTGTGATACGTTTCTGATTTAGCACATAGCTGAAAAATACAACTGAGCGTTTTCGTTACTGTAACTTTCATATCTTTGCCCGAAACTGCAGATTCCATTGCAGTTCAGTGCAGATACGGCATCTAAATTGACTCTGGTAAAAACGATCTCGGAAACGAAGGTTTTATATTCGATTTTCGATATCTAGGATACGCTATCTAAAATTTTATTTCATTGAAATAGGTTTAAAATTATCTATTCTATTTTTGTAAAAATCTATATAAAGTATTATTCTCTTCCAATATTATTTTTATTTCTAATTATAACTTTGTGTATGAATTTATGCGTTTGTAATTCATAATCATATTAATATCTGCTGTGTTTACACAGCATTATGTGTTGAAATTTGAGAAATTTTATTAACTGCATAACATTTACTCTGCAAATAAATTGTAAATTTGCCTCCCATAATTTTATATTATGTGCTTTCATGATTTTTCATACATTTCTTCATGTATTTGATATCTCCGATAAATTTCCAATATTTGCACTTTCCTTCTTGTAAACTTTTTGGCGAATTTTATGTTAATTTACTTCTTTTTTTTAAATTTGATTTGCACAAATTTTTTAATTTTAATGTTTTTAATATTAATTTAATAACGTTAAAATGAAAAACCTACCAATCTACCAAAAAAATCCGTTTGAAATCATTTAGAAAGTCTTAGTATATTCAACAGTTACAATATATATTGCGTATAAGCATTTTATGTATGAAACGCTGCGTTAAATCCACATTTTGCATGTTTTAGATTTGAAACGGGAAGCTACAATATGCCATATGTTGAAACATCCGCATATTGTGGAACTGCTGGAAACCTACAGTTCCGAGGGCATGTTATACATGGTCTTCGAATAGTAAGTATGCAAAAACAAACATATTTTATATTTGGCAAGTATATGTTATATATTCCTTCTGTATTTTATTATTTTGCGCATTAATATTAGAATTTATAAAAACGAGAATTTATAAAATCTCTAACAGATATGTCTATTTATCTAATATTTATCTATTCGCTTTAAGATCGGACTTTCAAATCTTGTAAGATTAAAGCTGTGAAAAGTGCAGCACAAGTAATTATAGTTGTATACTTTCAATCGTGAACTTTAAGCTAGTCTTTTTTTAGAAAAAACGACTTTTGAAACGAAGAGCGTCAATCTCGTCCTTTATATGCCATCAAGTCTACACTCTCGTCTTCTTGGCATAATTATTACCTTCAGGCTAGTGGAACGTTATACTTTCGATGCAGAAAATGGAAAAGCCTCACATTTGTCGAAAATGAAAGACTCGACAAAATAAATACATGACATTTCCTTAACGGCTCAATCTTTACTCGGGAAAGGCACGTTTTCCATTTAGTTGTTTGCTATCTATTATAACGTTCTACTATAGTTCGCTCTATAATTGGATACACATATCCGAGGTGCTCTTGAAATAATCTATCGGATAAGATAGCTGCGGTTTTTAATAGACCTCGTACTCAAGGCGTTTTTAACGAGATTATTTAAATAATATAATACCCAACTACGCGCACGCTCCGTTACTTCCTTCATTTTAACGAGATATTGTTTCTTTCACGACAAGAAATTTTTAATTATTGATAATATTTCATCGAAATTTCCCGTGAATTAATTGAGTATTAAATTTTATATCTTTTCGTACTTAATTTATATAAATTATGATCGTACAAGTAGATAATAATATTGATAAAATAATTGATAATAGATAATTAACAAAAATTAATTTAAAAAAGAACATATAAATTAAAATAGAAATTTTTATCGAGTCGTACATTATCTGTTCCTAATTTAATATTTTGTCTTTTTTTCAGCATGGATGGCTCTGATTTGTGCTTCGAGGTTGTAAGACGAGCAACTGCTGGATTCGTATACAGCGAGGCAGTTGCGAGGTAAGAAAATTCATTATATCTATCATCCGCGCACAGAGCATACCGCGAACACATCGTGAATCCAGTCTGTAGACAGTACATCCATTTAAACATTATCTCCTGAAGCTAAGCCCAGCATCGCTTACTTCGGATGTAGCATGATGCGCTGGCATCATGCCGCAGGAACACGCATTGCAACATTCTATATTATTTCGTCTTAAATGTTTCAACAACCTTGATATCAATATTAATCGTATTACATTTATTTTATACATAGTTTGTATAAAATAAATATATGGAGTTTATTATATATATTTTTTTAAATAATTGAAAGAAGGATCATGTAGATTTAGATTAAAAAAAAAGAGTTCTAGTATCATTCTTATTTTCCACATTATCTATTTTTGATATATCTTTAATGAGAATTTTAAAAGAATCTCTTTTCTATTTTATTAAAATGCAATGAGAGAAATTTAATAAATTAATTGCCTTCTTTGAGTCGCTTCGAGCTTCTACTGAAACGTGATTACCGTCTGTATGTTACACCTCGATATAATGCAAACGGATTCTCTCGGGAGAGTCTCCCTCGAGCGTAATAAATCCCTGTCTCGATAAATCCTTGACTGCGATCCATTACATTCGCTATACTCGTTTATGTCACGCTTGAACTAGCGGCAGTCTTCACCTCGGAAGGATCCTATTAAAACTCCTCACAAATGCACCGTTATATCTTTGATGCTGCGAAGAAGAATTATAAGTTAATATAAGAATAACTTGGCTAATATGAAATAACTCTTGAAATAATGCCTGATTCTAAAGTTGAAGTATTCAAGAATATACAAGTTGCTAATCGCTTGACTTACAACGTTTAAATATATTGAAAAATACACGCGTGTAATCCGACATGAATTCCTCTCAAATTTTGACGTTCTTTTGTGTCTTGAAACACGCTTTTTCGTCTTATATTTCATTCCTCAGCATCAAAGATATTTCACCGCTAATATCGCATGCCAAATGCATGAACATCATGTATTCACTGTATGTACCATGCAGTGCGACTCGCTTGAAAGATCATATCCAGAGTCTACTTTGATTCATATAAAAGTGCTACGAATACATAGTAAATAACTGCATCGTTCTTGTTTATGCGGTGTTTGATATTTTTCCTCTACTCTTGTGCTCCTCTCCTGTTTGTGCTATGTTGTCAATAGCTTGTTTTTATTAGACTACATTTTTTTGCATATTGTAAAAAATACATGAAAATGTCAAGAGTTAACTAGCCAGGATTTTATACTACATACAACTGCATGAAAAGCATTATTTCAAAATACATTTACTAATAAGAAGGAAATGTCAGAGATCGCGTTAATTATTACATATAAATTTCAACAATATGTTTACGACTGCCTTTGTTTGATGATACTTCCTACAATAAGTTAGAAATACAATTAAATAATATTGTTCCAAAAATTTATAATTATTTTTATTTTTTTAGCGGACCATTTTCAAGTTTAAATTGTCGTTTATTGTTCCGTAATTCTCTACCTCTTGGCCGCTAGAATATTTAAGAACTGTGCGGTGTAAAATCATTACGTGACGTAACGAGACGTACTTTAATCGCTCTATTTAAATTCTCAGAAAGAGCTTACTCTTTGTGCCGTGAATACTTGTGTCCCGTACTGCCTTCCCTATTGTTCTTAGCTAAGGGCGTACTCTCGTGACATGCAGGTGCAAGCGCCGGCGCCTAAGAAAACTGCACTTTCTTTTACAGTCACTACATGCGACAGATCCTCGAAGCGTTGCGTTACTGCCACGAGAACGACATTATTCATCGTGACCTGAAGCCGCAGTGCGCCCTTCTAGCTGGCAAGGAAAATTCCGCCCCGGTGAAGCTGCGCGGCTTCGGCGTCGCCGTGCAACTCCCGACCTCGCAGTCTAATGGCGTTGGTACGTTCATACCACCTTCTAATTCATTTAATTTTCTTTCCATGGTCTATTTTACATGGCATTTTGTATAAAGATTTACCACGAAAGCCGTGCGACGTCAGCTCTGGGATAGCCGACTCTGCTATTATTAATGATCTTCTTTCAACTCACCAATTTCATGCCACATAGTCATTATTACATAAAAGTCCATAAATTTGAAAAACAGTATGATATGGAGCAGTGATTATTAAATATATGTACCTGTTAAATTTAATCAAATTAGAAGACATGCCAATATAAAGAAAAATTGATAGTAAACGAAATTATAATAGGAAATTATTGGAAAGTCGAGAGATTTTTACGTCAACATATCGAACATAAGCAAAAAATTATTAGAGCATAATTTTGATAACATATCTGTCAACTGTATAGTGTGCACATGAATTAACATAAATTTTTTCTTTCTATTTTTTTATCCTTACTCTTTTCTATGCATTAGTTATCCTATTTGCTTTAATCGGACGCGAAGGACTGGTTAATATCGGTTGCATCCACAAATTTCTATTTCTATGCAAATATCGGATCTGTTTCTTACACCGAGAACTACCGCAAATGTTTGAGAAGTGTTTAAATATCATATACTGCGCTAAAGTTTTCTCATTAATGGAAATAACATGATAAATATTACGTTTAGTTTAATACCGATATAGTTGAAAGAAATTAACTATAAATTTTAACAAAATCGCGTACGGAAAATTTCAAAATACTCTCACAGTTAGGAAAATTATTATGTTTCTAATGTGAGCGATTCAACATTTTCTGTTATTTCAAGTAACACGTTGGGGGTATATCGATGAAATCACGGTAACGAAAACATCTTGCTCAACTTCAACTGAAATATACAGTCGTTGAATCGCAAAAAAGAGAATTTATTCCGAAGGCATGCAAATTCTTCAACCACTCTGTGTTCTTTGCTATTCCGTGACATAGTTCACAAGAGCTGACGTTGTGCTGCTTTTAGCGCGACGGTATTAAGAATACTAAATTTTTCATAATGTTTTTAAGTGGAGTCGGCGCTAGACGAAAGTAGGGCAAGAGCGAGATTATTATGAACGATACAATAAGAAAAGTACAAAGTAAATACACAAACTGTCACTTTCTCATGATTAATGATTTTTTCGCAGAGGAGAATACGACTTGTTATCACTTATAATAAAGCAAGATGTTATTTAATGAAGCGGTTTATAAATAGCGCAAGTATATTTAAACGCCAAGTTCTGGTATTTTACGAGAATGGATGGATGTAAACGAAAAAGTTTCTCCAAAAATCCATTGTCAACTGGCGCCGACGCTGCTTTTATATTTATGTTAAAACATATGCTAACATATAAAATATACTTACGCGTAATTATATGCTTATTTTGTCTGTGCAAACTACCTGAGAGGCACTATTCAATGCTCATATGCATTTATCGTATAGTTATTTGTTGATAAATAACTGCATATTACGCATTTTCATTACGTATTCTATGTTATTTTACTTTAATTACTCAGACTCCTTTAAAGCATTAATTAAATTCGCTAATCTAAAGATAAATTAAATTTTGCATACCACATTATTCGTCAACTGTGAACGTGAAATTATATTTCGAATTATTTGCAATTAAGCTGTTGAACAAATCATATATCATATATTTAATAATTTATTGTTAATTTATTCAGAATTAATTTGGTAAAAGACAGTGAATTATTATTTATTTATTCTTTCTATAATAAATTTAAACGCACGGAAAAAGCTATTGTGCAAACCGGGAAAAACTGAGAGAAGATAAAATATGTATATGTATGGTTTTTCGATATTTTCGACATTTCTAAATCTAGTTAAACGAATGTGTTATGTATAAAATAATGGAATACATTTCGGACATAATAGTTGAATATATTTTTTATAAATATGCCATGTATATATGTGCTTCTACTGTTTTTCTTGTGGCAACGTGGTGAGCTTTTGCATTTTTTGAAGGTTAATGGATTATAAAAGATCGAGCCTTATCACGAGAACAATGTTAGCTCAAAAGTCCGATATAGTAACGTGTTTGCCAATAACTCTGAACAAAAAATTTATTGATGCAGCATGTGTTTAGTTTCATCGCGTTATGAGAAACACGACATGTTTTTTAAAAGTTATTTATGCTTCTTCTCAATTAATAATTCATATGTGACATCCTTATATCCGAATAAATTAATCGTTAACGCTCGTCGACATTTAACATCATGACAGCTAGTTCAATGAATGTCGTTTAGTGGTGCTACCTTCTTTTCGAGTATGACACTAAAGAAAGAGAGCTGTGAAATATTCAGCGACAAGAAGCGACACTGAGCGTGTCCACAGGGATACAGAATTATTGCTAAAGGTGTGTGCCGCCGCGTCTGTGGATAAAGGTGATTAAGTTCTCGCGGAATAAATTATGCCGTTCGTCTCATGGGAAAGATTTTTCTCAAATATTGCGGGGTATATTATTCTAATGGAAATATGACAATAATAATTCTCACAAGTGAATGTGACCAGATAAGAACAAAAAGCTTGATCAAAAGCGCATTGAATATTGCCTTCTCAGAATTTGTAATTCAAATTTCTTTTTTCTATTTTTTTTTCCTCTTTTTTTTTTTTTAATTACCGATACGATGTGTTCCTGGCTCTCATCAAGCGTCACTTCAAAGACACTCGGTGTTTTTGTATTTCTCTTTTGAATGCCCTACTCTGCGATTATTGGTTGGCTTGGTCGATGATTGGCAAATCACATTCAAAAAATTTCTCGGTGTTCAATGTGCAGAATGCAACGGCTTTTATCGGATTTCTCCCCTATAACAATCGTGATGCTCTCTTTTCTGATTCTCAATCGATCGATGTCTATGCATTTTTTTTATGATCTTTCGCTGCTTCGATATCGCATGGTCTATAGTAAGTAGCCGCTCTTGTTGTATTAGCGACATTTGTTTTAGTATCGTTTTATTGACGTACTGCTACATTTTGGACTGATTTGAAATTTTCTTTGCGTAATTAGCGCAATTATCGTCGTTGTTTCTTTAAACCAATTCCATCTATAGCCATGCGATATTAAAAGAGCGTCTTTCAATTACGATGCGAATTTCTTTCATCATCTCGCATTACTATGATATTTATATTAATATTGATAATTACGTTATATGATATTGAAACGATCGCATTATCGTAGCGCGTTAAGAGCTGTTGATAAAACACACGTTATCGGTTGCGTCTTCTACTTTTGTTCTGTTCGTTTTATATGTTTGATTAATATTTAATTAACAATACAATCTTGTTTAAGCACGCGTTATTAATAAAATATTGAAAACGTGGGTAACAATATAATGGTACTATGCGATAATCTCATCCGCATTAAGTAAACGGCTTAATGAATCGCGCGAAGTGTTGCCACAAAAACGGTACATGGCGATACTCGCTAAACATATACACCTTCGTAGAATGAGATGCAGGAGAGAAGGTTTTCGGCAATCAGTAGTAGAATTTAATACTGATAAGAACAACTTTAGGAGCTAGGGTTAATTGCCTCCTCATCCTGCTGAAGCGCGTTACGCTATTATACCGAGTCAGATATTAATCCCCTCTAACTCCATGGCTATCGCTTCTGCTCTTCCCAGTTCGAAACTAATTTGGCATTCTGAGAGTAGACTGACGGCCAGTTCCAAATATAGGCCAGACGTCGACTGGAAAACCGTGTAAACTGGGACGCGCAACTTTTTACATACGAGTTCCGCAAACGTTCAGCTTTCGCTGCCGGGATTACGAATCACTTTAAACAAGAAGTTTCCGATAACGTCGCACAACATTGCCGTGCAACGTCTCTTTTAACGCTCCGTCACACTGATTTCTCGCGAAGCAAATATTTGTTTCACAACTCTATACGCGCTTATCGCGTAAATTCGTGCGCGCGAGAGAGAGATTGTCTCGCAGAGAGTAACGAGAAAATGAATACTAATGAGTACTGAGTTTTTATTATAAATGAATTTCCCGCGAACTACATTAGGCAGCGACAAAAGCGCGAAAACAGCGCGTCGTCTGATTACACACTGATAACTTGAAATTTCGTTTGAATGAATACAGCATGTTACACGACCGAGTATCGGCAGTGTCTGAGCCCAAAGGGGCAGCTCTACTTGAAGGCCGACAGCGAGGGTAAGCCTGACCTAACGTTTAATCATTACTTCCGCAGGAGCCTTGTCTCATCACGCCATATATATATTACATATACACCATCCACACTTACCACATCCACACATATTGTAATATGTCACATTTCAACCTATTCCGTGTATTCCTCTATCACTATCACTATCACGTCACTGTACTCTAGAAGCTGCCACTGCTTGCTTGCTTGCTTTATGCGTTCGGATGTTTACTTTGGCTAATTCATTAATACGACTTGGCTAATATATTATATATATATATATATATATATATATATATATATATATTATATATGTATATACCTTCGGATGTATCTGGTTTTCAAATTTATTAAAGGATGTTATTCTCAGATCACATGTAATATTTATTATTATGCTTATGATTAAACTGACGCGGATTTTATAAGTAATTCTTCAGCAATACATGTATTTAGACATGAAATGAACTGCAATTTTGTGTGTATATCGTCACTGATCATTTGTCCATGCTAAAAGAACGATAATTGTATATGTACGACTGATGCAGGAGATTTTTCATTATCATTGTTTAAATTATTTATTTTTATTCAAATTCCTGTAGCAGATATTTTTCTATGCTAGGATAAATCGCAGTAAAATTTTTTTCAGCGAAAATACAGGCGGTAAAACGAGAATATCTAAAAAAAAAATCTATTCTATTATGTAAGATTACGGAACGAACGGATTAAAGCAAGCGAATTCGACAGGCTTTATACTAACAGGGTCATATGCAAATTATTCTTTACCGTACGATACAAGTAAACGCATACAGACGATCGCGCAGGTACGCTCAACATGCTCAACATTTTACATACCAATAGACGCACACACACCACCAGAAAATCGTGTCAAAAGTCGAGTAAGCCGGCTCCTCGGGCCGATCAATCTTTGATCTGCGCGAGTTCAACTCTTTGATAAAAGCAACGACTCACCCAACAGCCACAGGTCTGTCTTCCTCTACGGATAACGGCGTTGATGATAAGCATTTTATCGTCCATGAAGCATTAGCAAGTCGCAAATTATCGTGACGATAACAATGCTTCTCCTTTCTTTCTGTGTTCTTTCGATAGGCCTGATCTCCTCCCCGAGCTGCAATTTCCCTTTCGAGGACCTGACCGACGCCGAGGATTCGCTAGTGAGCGACACGGAGGACAATATCGGTATCCACATGCCTGCCACATCTACAATTGATTATATACCACAAACGGGGGTAGAAATATAAATCAAATCGCATCATTCAATATATTCAATTAAGTCTCGGACAGTCGGATTTGCCGCTCTTGCTGCAAGTTCAAGCTACGCGAAGCTGCCGACGCGATGGTGCCGCCATTAATCGTCGTGTTATTGTCACGTCAAAACGTCGGTGCGTTTGTCTCGTCAATTTTTGTCGTAAAATGAACGAATAAAAGTGAATCGTACATTAATGCTGACAGTGGCAAATCGAATACCGAGTAATTGTCGTTCCAGTTAGTATACTTTTTCAGTAGAATGCATCAATATCATCATTAAAAAGTCGTATTTCCAAACGCGGTATGACTAAATCGTGAGAAGTTGGTACTACCGTCGCCAGTAATTGCCATGTCATTGTCGTGTAAAGATGTTTCCGCGGATTTTTGTTGCAAAATTGAGTTGTGGTATACATATTAATGCCGGTAGTCGCGAATCAAGTACGAACTGATCGTCGTATTAGGTTAGGTAGTTCGTATCGTCGGATTTCCAAACGCGCTATAATTGCAGATCGCAAAAATTGATATCGTTCTCAATAATCGTGACATCCGTAGCATTGAGTGAAAATTCTTTCACGTTTATCACGGATTATTTGTTGCAAAACTGAGCCGTATGTGCCGGCAGCGACAAGTCGTGATCACGAGAAGTGATTGTCGTGCCGGATCGTATCAGTGCATTTTCAGTGCAAATATAATATGCTAATATAATCGGAAAATCGAAGTATTGGATTTCTGAACACGCTTGCTGTAATTTCAAACCGAAGAATTCCTGTCGTCATTGGTCGTCACGTCGTTGTGTAAAAACATTTCATCGTTTGTCACGGATTCTTCTCATAAAAGTAAGTCATAAAAGTGTATATGCGTATCAAAATATCAGAATGTTGATTCAAATATAATAAACAATACGTTTGCTCAGCCGCGACAGCTGGTATTTGACAAAACTAAAGAATTCGACAGCTTCGAATAAACGTACCGTACTGCATGAAAACACTGCGTAAAAAAAAACAAATAAAAACGAGATAGTTCATAAAATAACAGTACGTCGCTTTTTATCGCAGTTAATGGCTTTATGGTTTCCGCAATTTTTTGAATTAAAAATAGCTCATACTCTCGTATTAAAAGAAGATATTTCTTTGCATATCCTTGAGTGTAGTAACCGTTTTCTTATATAACATCACAGCGACGATCGTAAAATATTGAGAGCTATTTCTATCAACGATAAGGCCAAACGTGTACAGAATATTTCAAAAATTTGTCCCACGTGCGTGAAAAACAAAAAAATAGAGGAAATATTGCAGGATTGCAGCACTTTGAAAAGAACCGAGAATATCTAAATCCACTTTTTCTTTAAATAAATTTGTTTTAAATAATTTTTTAATTTTTAATATTTACTAACATACGCAATCAAATTTTTTTATATGGAGCATCCTATAAGAGGATGAAAAGATCTATGTAGTAAGTCCGACTCTGAGACGAGAACAGTATATTAACGAGAAATGACTTTGAGTTGATTTTCGTGGACGAAACGCGTAACACTCCGCAATTATTGAGCGATCGATCAGTCTCGGTTTCGGGGTTAGTCGACGTTCTACCCCCGTGTGGTATGGTCATGTTAGTTTGAGAACGTGTAGTGTCTGTACAGACACTCGACCTATACGTGCGATAGCGTACCCTGTGATATCGTTGTGCAGGTCGCGTAGTAACAGATATTCGTTGTGCTATCGAGAGGAAGCGAGTGAGAGAGCAACTCCTTCCTCTTTTCTCTGTTTCCCCCCCCTCGTCTTCCGCGAGTCTGATTTTGTAACGCGCGAATGACATAAGTTCTGCTTCATCGTAATTGTAGGATTGGGATAAGTTTTTGACAGAATTGAAGGGTTCGTTACGGCTCGTCGTTGCATTGTTTTATTTCATCGATATTTTATATGAATGAAAGTGATTTGTGTATGTTTCAATAACGAACATCAAGTTTCTAAAACATTAATAGACTGTATGGAAAATTTGACATTTCTACCTAGATTTTATTTTAAATTTGATGGAAATCGAAGATCGTTATTTTTTAATCCAATTTTTAATAGAAAAATCCCGGAGTAGTTTTTAGAATTTTAGAAATCTAAAAATCCAACATGAACATGTTGTTATCAACAGCAATTGAATTTGGATAATAGCTAAAGTTATTTTGTGGTTAGTTTAGCATATAGTAACGGTTTATCTGTTTGAATCGATCGAATCGATTATTGCATTTACAATGCCTTGTGAGTATACATTTTGGAGTAATCTAATTGGTTTATTCTGAACAAAAAACATAGATTATTATTCCATAGCACATGTATTTGTTCAAATGCACATATAACATAAAATTATAATTAATAGAAAAATAGTTCTCTAAGAAAAAATAATAAATAATAAAATATAAGAATCAATGAACTATATCTTATTTTAAGGTATATTAAAATAAAATACACATATGCAATTTTATGTGAATTGCTGCACCAGAACATTAATATTTACAATATTATATTTACTTGATACTATTAACAAACACTGTGAAATTATTTTATTTATCTATACCACAATATTACCATAATACAACACGTATTGTTATAAATATTTTCTCTCTGAACAAAAGCTTCTATCTTACTTTTAATATAACTCTTTCGCGTGCTTGCAATTCATAGTTTAACTCTATTACGCGTAATAAACCCTTCAATCGGTTTACCTTTTTGTTGAGTCTGATTACCTAATTGCCCGCGTTATTTGGGTCTGTTATGTCATCATTGTTCGTAGCGGTAGACTAGCCTGTGTCTGTGTGTGTCTGTCTATTTGTATGCCGCTTTGTATTTGTCTTTCAAATTGAAACTAGTCGTTACTTCAGGGAAAACTATTTTATTGCGAATATCTATGGAATGTTTTACAACAAGAAAGACAAACGCGACAGAATCCAAACATAGCGTTTCTATCGATCGCATTTATTGCGTATTAACGTGAAATAGAGGAAGAGTCAGATATAATCTTAATCAAGATATATTCGGAATTATTGACTATTATTGTCCATTAAAAACAATTGATAAAAATGAATTATCCGCCACAACGATTATGATATAAGAAGTAGACACTTTATGTAATCGTTCCTTACATCGTGGCAAGCAATTTATTACAAAAATGTCATCTATCCGTTGATAAAGTACTTACGTTATGAATAGCACCGTTTTTTGGAGTACCGTCTCTCTTTTTTTATGAAACTCAATAACCTAGAGTGACAAGTGTGTAATATTACCGCATATTTATAACGTATCGCATGTCTATGAAATGCAATACTCTGTTCGCAACTTTCCATAAAAATATAAGCTCAGTTTCTTTAACTAGAGACAAAGCTCAGTGACACTCATATGAAATCAATGATATCACTTATTTAACGTTAAGTACGTCTTAACTTTTTATTTAATGGGAAGAACTTACTTAATATAAATATAAGATAATTTTTACATTCAATGTGATAAAAGCTAGAACAGATTGATTCATGAATGGAATGGGAAATATGGGATTACAAAAAAATGTAGGACATGCAAAAATTAGTTCTTGAGATTTTGAATTTATTAGTTTTTTTTTTTTAATTTCAATTTTTAATATTGAAGAATTTTATATTATTAATTAAAATCATATTAAAGATTAATAAATTGAAATTTTTAATCTTGACTGTCGAGATTTTGATATTATTATTTGTTCCTAAAATATTATCAAATAATTTTAAAATGTTTTATACAGCAATTAATTTTGAGTAAGAATTACTTTATGAAGATTTATCTGGTGTTGTTTATTTATTGAAATATAGGGCGCTGTAAATTTATTTCTTTAAAAACTAGAACTAGCATACATAACGTTACCGCAACGCAAGTTACCGCAATAACTCGCGCAACAAATTTGGAAAGATGCATTGGGACTACTACGAGTGTTAGGGAGGTATGAATCATACAACTGTCAAGTATTGCGTGATACCAAGTTGTTAGTATAGCTTGAACGTTTTTAGCAAATAAAATATAATATTACTTTAATTTGTATCTGTTATTACAGTACTTATGCAATTAATATTTCTACTTCAATGCCCTGTTTTTCTATAAATAAATAAAATTACATATATGCTTGCGTATAGCGTGTTTTACTCAAAATAAACTTTCCTACATGTGCCAGGAATTTCCCAAGCCACTTGTGCATTATTCTGTACATTTAAAATACATTCGATGCGTAAAATGCATGGCGTTATTAATTCGTCGTTTTGTTTATGTAACTAATTACTTTGTTGAAAAAAAAAAACAAGTAATAGTAATTATGGGACAGCCAAGCAGCGAAAAACAGGAATTTACAATCTCTTTATCTGCTATTATATTTTTAATTAGTATGTTGATTTTTTTTAAATGTGTGAATTATGTCATCATTGAATTTATATTTTAATATAAAAGATTCTGCATGCTTGATGTGTGCATGAAAACTTTTGTTTTCAAATATGTGTACTTATTTGGCACATGTTCATGGCACCGTCAAAGTTTTATATTAAATATTTTTCTGTTTCGAAAATATTCAGCTTAGTCTCTCATTCAATGCATTTACTTTACATAAATAATTACATCAATTTTCCTCTGCACCAGCACCATTTATTTTTTGTTAAGACATTTGACCTAAAAAGATGTTGTAATGTGTTTTGTCTTTCTATACATTACGTTATACGTAAGAGATTAAAGAATGTTTTTTAGAGCAGTGAAATTAAACAGTAAAAAAGTAAAAAGTGTTTTATTATATGTATTTTAAAATATATTTATATTTTTATTTTATATTAAATGTACATACAAAATACAGAAGAGTTGACGAAAGGATTCAGCGAGAATGTGCCGGAATTAACGAAAGAATTTTACACTGTGTAAAAATTGGTTGTTTTTAATGAAAGATTAATTTATTATCAATTATTTAAATTTTTTAGCTACATTTGCAAAAATTGAATTGTTACGTTATTGTTATCGTAAAATGATAAAGAAAGTAGATTTGATTATTTTATTTATTTATAATTAATTATAATATTTATTTATAATTAATATTTTATTTAATTTATATATCTTACAATCTTTCAATATCTTTGAATATACGTGAGTCTAGATATGATAAGAATACATATTTTTTCTACATACGAGAATTTACTACATGAAAAATATAAATTTGTACAAAATATGTACTTTCTGTAACACAATATTCATTTTTTGTATATGAACAGAGAAGGCTTAGATAAATTATAGCTAAAAATCCATTTTTAGATTAGATAGAATAGTCTATATATATTTATATAAGAATAGAGATTTTATGAGGTATATAATCTAATAGAACATATATATATATATATAATACAATAAAGTATTTAAAATATTTTATATATATATTTTTTATTAGTTTTTAGAAAGGAATATCATCTTTTTATATCCATGCGGCAACATTATCGATATAATTATGTATCATTATATTTTTAAAATATTTATGTGAACACGATATAATTTATCTAATAATTTTTCTAATGCCCAACGACATATTCGCGATCACAGTTATGTCGTATTTGCTTTACAGCCTTAATCATCTCATCTCTTCCCATGTACACTTTCCAACGTGCAGTGACCTACATTTGCTCTCGTACCGCTTTCTGTGTCATTTACCGATTCTTAATAAATATAGGTTATTGGAAGTAAGCAAGTTAGCACGTTGGTTATCGTCCGTGAACGACGTTTGTGCTCATATCGTACGGAGGATCGGCTATTTTGTGACAAGTGTATTTGTTTTTCGAGGAATGCAGTAGCTTTTGCGTTTGACACATTCGTTCCTTGCCATTAATTACATTTTGATACGTCCAGTCGATCCGACGTTCCCGATAATAATGATAAGTGAAAATGCAATTAGAATTTCACTCGATCAATTTTGGGCGAGAGAAAGCTGCCGATTATTGGTTTCATATATGCATACCCACGGAAAATCAAGCGCAGATGTTTCATTCGGCGGACAAATTCGCGTGTACTTGTCGCAAGCACTGTTTCCGTTTTACGTAACGATCGACTGCGAAGTTTCCGAGTAATCACTCACGCCTCGCTTCCATTCTGCTGGTCACATTAGTCGTTTTATCCCCTTTCGCTTACGATGTTTTTGGTCGTGCAGGTCGTGTCGGATGTCCGCACTTCATGGCGCCGGAAGTGATCCAACGGCGACAATATGGGAAACCCGGTGACGTCTGGTCAGCCGGAGTGCTGCTCCATGTTCTGCTTACCGGTACGCTTCCGTTTGTCGGATCTCGAGACAGACTACGAGAAGCGATTTGCCGAGGGCGGGTGCAGGTAATAATCGCGTTGTGTCGTTCTCTTCTTTTTTTTTCATGCTGTTAATTTGAAACGAAGCGAGCGATCCGGGAATTTTACTAAACCTCGCCGCGATTTCAACCGCGATTTCGCTCTCGCGTCCGCACCATTCGCGCGAGATTCTCTTCGCACGGCAATATTAATACCGATTTAATTGAATTTGCAGATGGAGACACCACTCTGGGATCCCATTAGTGAGCCGGCAAAAGATCTCATACAGAGAATGCTTACGACCGACGTAAATCATAGGATTACCATCCAGGAGGTTCTCAACCACAAGTGGCTTAGAGTAAGTAAAGCGATCCACGCCGATCCTTGATAACACCTTATCTGCATACGGCGAGGCGTACGATGGAGCACGTACGTAGAGAAATTCTGCGTTTAATCTGTATAATCGCGCGGGCGGTTCGGTGACGACCAGTATTCTACGTCACGCCGCGCAACTCCTGATAGAGATAATCGATGTAGCGGCTTCCGTTTGATCGCCGGTGATAGTACCATCGGGTTTTATTTTATAATTACGCCGCATTATATATATACACGTGGCCTCGTTCCCCGTTATTATGTCCAATGAATGTGCGTCCGCACGCGCACGCCGTATGGTGTGAGAATATACCTATGTGGTGCAACAGTTAGCCAGTGACCTAAGGTAGCAACACTCGCGGAGTCACCCCCATACTTCTTCGTTGCAACACACGTGCAACTGGGCTATCGATCGCCATAGTAGGAGTAAAGCGCTGACGGTTAATGAAAATAACTGTAGTAAAGCATACACCTCGCGCTGTACACTGCTTAGAGCTTTTTTACACGGCTGTACGTTCGTCGAACCCCCGATGGCTTCGTGGAAGCAAGTATAATCGACCTTTCTTCTCTCGCTATGGTGGAATAATGTGCCTCGATTTTTACACGAGAGAAAATATTTAAATTGTTTATTGCTCGGTTGCTGCCAGTTTTCTTTAGCATTTTCGTTACCATATTTTATCGACGCATCTAAAACGATTATTAATATAATTAATATTAATTTATGCGTCGCATGTATAAGAATTAATTTGCAAACATATTGCACTTGTGTGCAATAATTAAGTGATTTATACATAATGCAAACGTCAAATAATTTTCAAAATTAAATTTAATTTTACAAACATGTATTTTACAAATGTTTTGCAGTGTCGCTGTAAGTGACATTCTCGATTTGTTGTATATTTTATAGCGAATGAACGGATCTTAACTTGCAGGATCGTGATAAGGGTGCAGCCCGTATTCACTTAGGCGATACTATAGAAGAGCTTAAGAAATTTAACGCGAGGCGAAAATTGAAGGATGCTGTAAAAGTAGCAGTCTCCTCGTCGAAATGGCACGTCCCATATTCAGAAGCTAATGGAGACAATTTTTCCGACGTTGGCGATGACGAGGTGACAACAGGTACGCTGAAGACGAACGCTTTTAAAATTTAATGTGATACATACAAATATGGCAAAATGTGACGACGAATAAAATTACTCTTCTCGATGGATAATTAATTTACAAAAAAGTAACATACATACATTTTTATTTAATAGAATCTTAAGTTGTATTTTAATGACAATTAAAATTAAAAAATAATAAACAGTAGAGATTAATAACAGCTTAATAACAATTAAAAAATAATAAACAATATAGAGATGCTTTTTAACCGAAATTTTATTTAATACCAAATTTTTTTCTCTTTTTTTTCTTCAGCTCTTTGTTGCAAGAAAAAAAAGAAACCTGTATATCTGTATTTTTAGTCACTTGTGATACTTTAATAATGATTAAGACTGATATTAATATAATAATCTAGGTTAATGTTTTGTTTACGTGTTTTGAGTTTATTATTTCAACAACGAGATTGATAATGTAATTTGGAAATTTTGTGATTGCTGTGATATATCACGGAGTATAATTTATCTTTTATGTAAACCCGTGATCAGAGATACCTTAACATATAAAATTGCATATTTTGCATAACTCTAACAATTGATGCATTTTTATGTGCTAAAACACTCCTGTGTACACACATACATAACAAAGCACCATTCACCAACGTTATTCATTACAATATTAAGTGAGTCATTATTCACATTAACGATATTTCGTAAAATAAATTTCTCCCACACTGTTTTATGTTACAGGCGCTGTAGCTGAAATTATGGATTCCTTGGATGACATCGAGATCCTCGAAGAAAGTGACAGATTGTTACGGGCGGAAGTTATTCACGCTGTTGATGACCATCGGCTTCGAGCCGTTTTAGAGGTATTTTTTAAATGATTATATAAAGAAATATCGGAAAATATTATTTAAGAAAAGGCAAAATAATTAAAGGATTGCAGCACAATAAATGAAAAAATTTAAATTTCGGTATCCAAACTTTTCGTAACTTGTCAACCAATATTATGTTGACATTTAATCTATGACAAAAAAAGAGTTGTTTAATTACAAATGTGCTGAAATTGTTGCACATTTCAAAGATGTTATTATTAAATTGTTTCGTAAATTTAGATATTCTATTTTGATAGCTAATTTTTAATCAGGCAATACAAATATCTAACTAATTCTCAATTGTATTATCTTACTGTAATTTAATTATCGCTTTGATATGCAAATTTCTGCAATTACGATCGTCTTTTAAGCAATAACAAGACGGCAATTCTTGATGCCGCACAACTTCAAGATGAAAAAATGATATTCATTTAAATGTCAAGATTTGCTTTCAAAAGCTTTTAGCAGCTTTATCTCTGATTCGTGTAGTAATGCTCCATAATGCCTAGATAAAAATTGAAATATGCGGTCGTTTAATATCTCCGAAGAGAAGGCGGAGATTTTACTCGTAATCTCGATGTAATCTCCTGATGTAAACTCGGCAAAAGCTCATTGAATAATGCATCTCTTTTTTCGTTTTAAAATTGTTTGTAACGTTAAGCACATTAGGAGGATTGTCTTAAATATGCAATTGAATTTTTCTTCAAGTCTTAAATCATTTCTACGTTATACTTTTTTATCAACTATGAGATATACTTTCTGCAATCGACTGCGAACAAAGAGAAAACGCCCCCACGCAGGGTAAAACAGATCAGAAAGTTGTTTCTTATCGAGGGCGGCGGGTAACGATCGCCGACCCCTTCCTCACAACGCTTGCGCTACGTTTGAACTGTTACCCTCCCTTGTTTCAACCCTGCTGTAACCCGGATCGGCAGTCATCTCGAAAGCTCCCTTTTCGCGCGGCTGAATCCTGCCGCCGCAGAGCTTAACCTTTTCTACTGAGAGCGGAGCCACCTATCGTTGATTCTCTTGCCTGGCTGTGTAAGCAGCGATATCGTTCACCCCTGCAGTGTATCCCGCGGGAACGCGCGCCCATCCCCATTCCCGTTCGAGAAAAAGCACGCAAGCGCTGCCTTCGGGCTGGCAAGATGGCTGCTGTGGAGTCCTGATAAACAACATGCCACGCACGATTGAAGGATCGCATAATCGCGGCAACACGCGTGCGAATATAAACTTTCTCCCCGGTGATTCCTGAAGTGTCACGTGGCCGAACGAGCCACGTGCTAGGACCATGCTACACGTGCGTGGTGAGACTTGTAACATTGTTTAATAAACAGAGATGCGTCTCTGTCAGTTGATGTTCATCGGCGATGCCGAGCTAGCCGGCGACCTGTTCGAAATCGCGGGTCTCCTGGTGAGTAAATTTGATCAAGCAGGATAAGGAAGTATATCGTAAATTGTTGAATCTCATGCGATCGGAATTCTATGTAAATAAAGTGATATCGGCGCTAATAATTTTAAGCGCATAGGATAGGACATCTCATGGACTACTTACAAACTATTATTTTCAATCCTTATATATCGGTTAAGATATTAACTATTGCCAATAAAATGAAAAAATTTTTGATATTACAGAAAAGTTTGAATACTTGTACAATTTAAGTTTCCTTTTGGCATTTACTAAAGTGCCACCTTTTATTTCTCTATCTAAAAGCGATAAATTATTTAAAATAATTTCATCGATTTATTAGAAAAATGTACGTAAAGTTTATATTTTTTGTCAAATATATTTGATTATTTCCATAAATGTCAATATTTATAAACAAAGACTACAAAAGAGGCGAGAAAAATTATATTGGTACTAACATTGTCTCTTTTGTTAGCTTTATGACAGGATCTCAGGTCGTGTGCCAACGCCGTACCGAGCACCGCAAACAGATGCAGTCCAACGTGCCCGCGAAGTCGAAGAGATCCTTCGGGAAGCAGAGCATTCAGCGGTGCGAAATATCGATAGAGCCGATCTCCGGGAGCTTCACGAATTATTGGTCCAGCCGCATATGAGGGTAAGTACGTTGTAATTTAAAGCCAGAAACTAGCACGGACAGAATGGATAACTTACTTCTGTTGATTTAAAGACTAGTATCTTTTAACCCAAATCACGAAGTGGCGCAGTAATATTTCAGATAAGTTTTATATTTGTGTTTACACAGAGACACTTTATGTACGTGCCTCTACTATTAAAAAAATTGTCAGAATTTATAAAAAAAACAGAGGGTGACACATTAAATTATCGCTTATATAAATTCTCAAGAAGCAATTTTTACATCAAATTTTATATCCATAAAATATCAGAAACTATAACAATTGGAATCCGTATTTTCCTAGGGGCTTCAGGTATAAATTGCTAATTAATCGTTTGTTGCGAATCGTTCCGCTTGTAATTATTCAGGCGTAAACAATGATCACGTGCTACTTAATTCGCGTTTACATTATATATTGATAACGATTTCTCAATTATTTACATAAATGAATTCAATTAGAATAATAAAAAATATTGATGATTAATTACAGTTTGAATTGCGAAGCAATTTCTTTAAACCTATTATTGATTGCACCTGATATTGAGAAGAACGCAATATTAAACAACCGTTCGTAAATATGATTTGTTTTGATGAATTCTAAATATCAAAATTTTTTAATTGCTCGGTGATTATTACAAAACAAATGAATAGCTTATATTAGAAAAACAAAGAATTTATTTAATTAACAATTAAACTCTTATATTAATGCTAAAAATAATTTTTTAAAATAATTTTATTTATATATTATATAACTTTATTTAAATAATAAAAAAATTGCAATTTAGTGCCGGATTAATTAATAATTTCCGTGTATGCGTGAACCCGTCAACTGGTGGGCATTATAATGATAGTAAGACATATTTAGAAGTTTTTAAATATATATATATATATATATATAAATAAGAGCAAGTGACTCGTGAAATCCACAGGAAGATTGATATTCGCATTCCGACGATTTTTATGGCGTTTTCCGTCAAACTATTTCGACGTGAATACCCCGATAATCGTCTGGTCGTGCCGTTGCATTGCTATTTGTCCTTACGGCGACCATCGCTAGCATATTTATCGCGGTGTTTGACATTATCGTAGGATATGCCGTAAATGGGACGCGGAAATGTAGGTCGATCGTTAAAATTCTCAGTTAAAAATCCCGTAGCTGCAGCGGAGAGGGTAGGGAGGACAGGAAAGAGTTACAGCAAGAGAAAGATAAATGTAGGCGAGAAAAGCGAGAAGAAAAGAGATAGATAGCGAACACGGGAGAAGTGATTTAATCGAGCCGTGACTCATTCTGATAGCTATCTTCGTCACTATACGCGCCTTATTAATCTCATCTTTATCCTTGAAACGCGATGCTTGTTATTTATTTGCATTTCTTCGCCGTCGTCCGTGTTTCTGTCTGATCCTATTTTAGATCGGCATCTCGAGAAACGACGGACTCGACTATGTTCTTTTGCGAGATATTTGGCACTTTGCTCTGGAAACAGTTGAAATCGATGTGGCGCCCTACTTCGATTAGTGACATAAGTGGAACGGGCAAAAATAAAAGAGCGTCTGGCGCGAGATATATTTAATTAGACTGAACGATTTGATAAAGCTGCTGCTTTTGTTTCTTCCGCAAAAAAGTGGTATTATCTTTATCTATAAACATTGGAAAAATTATTCAATAGCGATTATCTCGGTGTTTTCATGGGATGGTGACCGAATGCATTTGCATTTTAGAATTGAAAATTATATTGTATATATAATTAAATTCATACACAGAACTCATTTCGGATTCATAAATTGTAAATGTGGCATGGACGATTCGCTAAACGGCAGTTTCAAAAAGTACAAACAGTGGCAAATATTGAGTAGAAATCGATAAGCGTTTCATAAAAAACGGCGAGAGTGTTTTTCTCAAAAAAACATTTTTCTCTGATTATTCCATTTTTAGGACCTAGTTTGCTTTTCTCGAATTAAAAATTTATAACGCAGCTAATGAAAGAATATTTTAGATTTTTTAAACCGCATTATTTGCTAATACTTATATATAAAAGCAAAAGTTTCTGATATAGAGGAAACCTGAGAATAACACTAAAAATAAAACTCGTGTCTTTATAGCAGCCGGCTATATTTATTATTCAGTTACTTCCCGTCATATATCAAATGGTTGGTTCGCGTATTTATTCGGTTTCGGATTTTCTGCGTTTATTTCACTTGGCAGCACAATGAATATAAAATTTGACAGTTGGTAAAGACACGGATAAGTCTTATAAATTCCGAAAGTGTTAATAAAAGATGAACCACAATCACGTTGTTATATAATACGTACTACTTTTTGAATCATAATTAACAAACATAATTACTATTTAATACAGATTGTAATAATAATTATTAAAAATTTTTCAAATATTTTAATGCAACGTACGCATTACAGACGTTGATATTTAATTAAAGCACTCATTTGCTATATACATGTTTGCGATCTGAAACTAATATGATTAAAATCATTAAATTGATAGTTGAGAAAAGGAAAATATATTTAATCGATATCCGCGAGAACGTAGAACTTGTTGCTTCATTGGCAGGAAATAATATTATGAAGAGAAAATCGATCGATGTACAGCTATCAAAGAATGCTTGCCTTTCATTAAAATGCATGATAGAGAAAGACAGAGAGCCCTTGATCTATCGACTACAGGGTCACGGCAAGCATTCAAGGAAAGGATTAACGCATGCGCTTCATGTTTTTGGAAAACGCGAAGATCGATGAAGTACACTGAAGGCAATACATTTCGCAAAAATACATGCATATATATTACAATGTTATGACCACGTTCATAACAATCAATTAATCATCTAAACCACGCTTAACGAATGTTTTTCCGTGTAAGAAGATATAAAGTGAATATTCATCAATCATATGTATATAAAATCTTATATATTTCCGCTAGAATTAGAAACAGACGTATATAAGGGAAAAAGGGACGTTTAATGTTCGAGGTATTGCAGGGGAAGTATTAATTTCATATATTGATTGATAACATACGTGCTTCTGCATGACTATGCAATACGTTAAAATAGTCATACTGCACTATTTTTAGACTGCTTTGTTCTACAAATCAAATGATACGAGATATGACTTTACTTTGAATTTTTAAGTCACATATTTATATATGTGCAAAAAGCAGGTTTTACAATATTAATATAGCAGAAGTTTATTTTCTCTTATAAAGTTAAGGCATCATTTTTTTTCCGATTAGATTCACCACTGAAAAACGATTAGGTGTAAAACACTGTAAGCCACAAAAAGAAGTGTAAAGAAGCTTATATAAGCGAGGGTGAGGGGGATAGTTCGAAAGTGCTGAAGACACTTTTTACAAGATCCACTCGAGCGGCGCTAAACGGTGCGTTCCGGAAGAAAGTATCTGCCGGGCTTGAAACTGGATCACGATTGATTGGCGCCGTATCGTCCGGCGGCGTACGCAACTCCGTCCGGTGGTGGCAGCTACCGGCGCTGACGGTACTGCGAAACGGTCGCGCGTTGGTCCGTCGATGCGGGGGTGGCATGGTGCGCCGCACCGCGCCGCTTGCGAACCGTGGTGGAGGGCGAAAGGAAGGATCTGACGTACGGGACGGGTGGCCCCCGCGGGGTCGCGGGAAGGGTCGCTGAAACCCGGGGGGGAAGGGTGGGCGGCGGGCGCCAGGGCAGGAGAGCTAGTATGCCGCAGAACGTAGATCGCGAGCGACGCGTTCCGCACCCCTTTGTCTACACACATAGGTTTGCCGTCGACGACGGCCGTGGATTCGCTGTAGGTCGATCGTGCTATCGGAGCACGTGGTGGAGGTGGCGAACGGTTTGTTCGCCGTTGACGCGACCCGAGAATCGTGCGAAGACGTGTTTCACTCGACGTGATTGCCGTCGCCGTCGAGGCCGCGGACAGCGCGAAGGGTTAGTCGCGGAGGAGATGCCCGCGTCGCGACCGCGCGCGATCCGTAAACAGCCGGTAGTGTAGTCAGCCCCAACCCGACCTCTCGCGAGCATAACGGCGCCCTCCACTGTACTCGCGGCGCCGCGGCGCATCGCACCATTGCCGGCGAACCGCAAGCACGGCAGCTCTTGTGTGTTACCCCTTGTGATACACCTCAGGCTCTGCTCTGGTGCCGTGCGAGAGTGCCACAACGACGAAATCGACCCTCCGTCTCAATGTGCGTTAAGCTTCGTTACGTCACACCTCCATCTTAGTGAACGACTCTGAAAATATAGCGCGTCGTAGGTGTTGGAGCCGATCAGCCTACGCGCGGCTGCTGATCCTTCCATTCACGACCACGCTGCTGACCTCGCGCGTCAAGGGTTCCCGCTTTTATAGATCGCTCGAGTTGCTCGCTAATCGAATAACCACCAACCGGTTGACTCGCAGCTGCCGGCACATGGTTGCTTAGTAGCGCCGCGACATTTTCGAAGTACATAATCAGATTTAGCCTGACTTCGTAATAGTTCATCTAGTCTTCCGTTTACCACCACTTGTGGTCTGCCTCATGGGACTTGAGTGAATTTATTGCTATCATGATTTGCGCAACACTTGTGTGGCAGAATCGTGATTTGCTTACGCGTGAAATGTCTTTTTATACGAAAAATGATGAAAAAATTATGACATAAACTGATGATGAGTCTTCTTTTATTTGAAATTAGTACCATCCCGTTTTTGAGAGTCATTTACTTAATTAAAAAGTCTACTATATAATTATGTTTTTTGTATAACTTCAATAATGAATTTTTCGGAATTATTGGTTTTTTTCCGGTTCTGTTTTAATTAACTAATTCATTTTACGCTAAATATTGTACAAAAATCTCGATTTTAACATACGTATATAAATAATTAATAACTGAATATATTTATAAATGTTTAATAATTGTTAAATTATTATTAAATTATATTAGCTTAGTGGTTAAAAAATATTTTTTTATATTTATTAAATTTTTTATTCGGAATTTTTGCGAT